GAAGTCCTTGACAACTTCAATCTCTTCTCCATTGATAAGAATGCTGTTTATTGGTCCAGTGGTGAGGATTTTTGTTTTCTTAACATTGAGATGTGATTCCTCTAGCAGAGGATTATTGAGAGATTTTTCTTCAAGCTCAGTAATTTGGTTTTCCATTGATTCAACTGTATTTCTTTGCCTTTTCGTTGTATTATCTATTTCTGAAGTCTTAGTTTTAATCTTCTGGCTTTCTAATGGCTGATTTTTGTATAGTTCCCATTTTTTCAATTATTTTGTCTATTTTGTTTCCTGATTTTTCCCACAGTTTTGACTTTGTTTTCCTTGATTTCTTCTTTAGTTGTCTTGATGTTTGTCTCAATCTATTCAAGTTGCTTAATAAGTATTCTTTTCAAATCCTTATCCGTTTGTTCCATTTACTATCATTTCTGGTGTTATATTTTTGAGTCTGCATTTTGGTGTTTGTTTGAGGCACTCTGTCTTGGTTCTTTGTGTTAGCTGAAGCTGTCTGTTTTCCCTGAAATATTTTGTGTCTTATTTATATTTAGTAGATGATGGCTTATTGGTATATTCTCAGGTACTCACTGGCTGTTTCCTGGTGGAAGTGGTAGAGACTGGAAGTGTGAAAGCAGTTAGTTCTCTATTCACTGTTTGTGAAGTATAGCTGAGGGTGGGTTCATGTGCATCCAGAAGCAGGGGCACTACCCCAGGCAGAGCAGAGGCTGCACAGAGGGGATATCCCGTCACTGGTAGCTGAGTTAGTGAAGGCAGAGACTGCCACACCCCTGTCTACCAGAATGGCACAGGAACAAGGGAAAACAGAATCTCCTCACAGCTGATCTCCAGTTGCATCCTGTGCTCACCAACTACAGTATCGACATCCACTCACAAAAAAGCCCAAGATGGCCACGCCACTCCACGCCAGCCCACAATCTAACTGTCTTTCTTCTTCCTGGCTTCTCCTGTTCAGTTTCCTCTTTCAGTCAGCACTCTGTCCTCTCCTCTGATGCTCAGGGTTCCAGGATCACCATTATGTATCTGTTGTTTCACTCAGTTTCCCATGTCTGTATTGCAGAGGGTTGGCTCAGTGCATCTGTTTACATTTTGCCTGGACCCCTCACACCATTTTTGTTAGATGCATTCCAAACTCTCCTTCATAAGGAAGCCTGGATGTTAACAGTGTTGATGAATACGCCTGACTGCCGCTAGAAGGGAAATGTTTTTCCTCTGCATTTCTATAGCTTCCCCGAGTTCTATCATAGATCTTACTCCACATGGTACTTGTCTCTTGCATAGTACACAAAAGCAAGAATTGTGTTATTTTTTATGTCTCTGAGATCACTGTTCCTAATATATTCAAGCAGGACAATAAATAACTATGAAATAAACAATATCTTATTGTTGTAATTGAGTGCTATAGAATAGGTTCAACCCATAGCGACCCTATATAGGACTTCTAAGGAGTGGCTGATGAGTTTGAGCTGCCGCCTTGCAATTCAAACTGGTTTTGCAGTCCAACCCACAATGCCATTCATGGTGACTACATACACCGCAGAACAAAATGCTGCTTGGCCGTGTACTAGTCCCATCATCTGTTGTAATTGGACCAACATGATACATAGGGTTTTCATTTATTGGTTTTGCAGATAGATTTTCAGGACTTTCTTCTTAGTCTGTCTCTGTCTGGAAACTTTGTTAGAACTTTTCAACATCATAGGAATGCACAAGCCTAAAGTGACAGATGGGTTATGGCTGCACATAAGGTGTGTTGGCTGGGAATTGCACCTACGTATCCTGCATGGAAAACAAGAACTCTACCTCTAACCACAAAGGCATCATTGCTTGTTGGCACTGAATCCATTCTGACTGGCAACCTCATGTGCAGAATAGAACTGCTACTTAGAGTCTTCAAGGGGAACCCTTTGGGGAGCAGATTGCTAGGCTCATCTTCTGAGGTGCCTCTGGTGGTTTTGAATTATTAACCTTTCAGTTGGTAGTCCAATACTTAATCATCTGTCTATGATTTGTTGTCACAGGAGAGCTACCGATTTACAGATCAGTCTTTAACAATTATAAAAGCTATTGGGAATGTGATTGCGAATTTCAAAGATAAGGCTAAACTCAATGCAGCTCTGAAGGATTTGCAAGCAGCTCACTACCCTGTGCCCCTCCAGGATAAAGAACTAACTGCTCAACATTTCAGGGTAAGTGTGTTTCTAGAAGGATACTTTTATTTTAATTATTACAGCTTACGTTAAAACCCAGTGCCATTGAGTTGATCCTGACATTAAAGAACAGACTACAACTGCTTCATGATGTTTCTGAGACTGTAAATCTTTATAGAAATATACAGTCCTAGCTTTCTCTTAGGAATGGCTGGTGGATTTGAACCACCAACATTTTGTTTAGCAGCCCAGTGCTTAACCTATTACATTGTTGTTAAGTGCTATCAAGTCAATTCTGATTCATAGCATCGCTGCATGGAGGTTTCAAGACTGTGCATCTTAAAGGGAGCAAAAATCCTCATTTTTCTCCCATTTATTGTTGTTATTAAGTGTCATTGAGTCGGTTCCAATTCAAATTCATCCCAATAGGTTTTCGAAGAAGCAGCTGGTAGGTTTGAACTGCTGATCTAGGTGACCCTAAAAACAGAACCTGAGACAAGAATTTGAGTGGCGATAATTTATTTGAGGAAAGAATTCAAGCAGCAATGGGTAGTAGAAAGAATAAAATGAGACAGAATAACAAGATAAAGAATGTGATAATGAGCTAATGACTACTGAGGACAACTGAAGCTAAGTCATCCTGGGAAATCCTATAGACTCTGTAGGACATCCCCCCCAAATGGCCCAGCAAATGATGGGAAGATTGTGGCATTATACATCAGTTCTCTGCTGCAATGATAGCTGTTACTACTGTTGTTGTTGTTAAGTGCTGTCGAGTCGATTCCAACCCATAGCAACCCTGTATAGGGTTTCCAAGGAGCAGCTGGTGAGTTTGAACCAATGACCTTGCAGTTCAAACGGCTTTGCAGTCTGGCACATTAACCCACAGCGCCACACCAGGACTCCTATTAGGACTATTCATAGTTTAAGATTCTGGTGTTACATGTTCTGCTAAAGTAGAGTAACTTAGGTTATTTTAAATATTATTAATGTCTGCCATTGTATTTTGATATAGTACTGTTTGTGGCATGCTCTTGGTACTATCTTTGCCAGAGGGAGACCATTTCAGGGAGTTCCTGTTGACTTCTGCACATTGTTGTTGCTGTTCAAAGCCATTGAGTTAATTCTGACTTATAGTGAACCTATGCACAACAGAATGAAACACTGCCTGGTCCTGCATATCCTTACAATTGTAGGTACATCTGAGCCCATTGTGCTGCCACTATATCAATCCATCTCATTGGGGGGGGGGTCTTCCTCTTTTTCATTACCCCTTCACTTTTCCAAGCATGATGTCGTTCTCCAGGGATTGGTCTCTCATGACAATACATTCAGAGTATGATAGACGAAGTCTCACCATTCTGGTTTTTAAGAAGCATTCTGGGTGTACGAATTTGTTTGCTTTTCTGACAGTACATGGAACATTCAGTATTCTTTTCCAGTGCCATAATTCCAATGCATCAGTTCTTCTATGGTGTTGCTTATTTATTGCCGAATGTTCACATCCATATGAGACAATTGAAAATACCATGGCTTGGATCAGGTGCACCTTAGTCTTCAACATGACATTCTTTCCAGTAGTTGATCTTATTTTACAGGTCCAAGAACAATGTGAAAACGCTGTTAACTTCAGATTATATCCATTACAATTGTCTGTTAAGGGATGTAGGGAAATGACCAAAGTGTAGTTTTTTAGATCCATAGGGCCCACCATGGAATATATTTAGACTATGCTATCATCTATCACCTGGCTTTCTTAAGCTCTCACTCAAACAAGCAGCCATAATGACATTCTTGATTTTCTAATATCAGAGTCAGTGCAGCTCCTATAACCAAGCAAACTTAAAGTGCTGATGTGCTTCCAACCTCAGTGTTCAGCCACTGAAAATGGCTACAATTTTCTTTAAGAATAGCTTGTTTATTATATGTACTTGGTTAAAGCAGTTTTTGTCTCAAGCAAACTCAGCCCCCTCTTTAATCAATGGATTCTAGGTTTGAAAATGGTTTAGGCCAATCTTCAGCCTGTAGACCTGTAACCATGTATGAGTGAAACAGTATCTTTATCAGTTGCTTTTCTGCCTGACTCCTAGGAATACCATGACTTATTAGCTTGATTCTATTCTGATCTTGCTGTGCATTATGCTTATTTTGTTCTCTTTACCTCTCATAAATGTTATCATCTGTCTAATACTATTGTAGAGTTCTATCATCCCCAGTGACACTATTGAATTCCAATTATGTAACAACATCTGTTGTCTCCCCTGGCTTATGGGACACCATTGAGATTCTTACTGATGTGAATGCCTATCTTCCCTCTTCTCCACCCTATTTGTACCTTCTCATTACTAAGGATTAGTACAGGACTGCTAACCACAGTTGGCAGTTCAAACTCATCACTCACTCTGGAGTAGGATGAGATTTTCTGCTCTCTTAAAGATGTGCAGCCTCAGAAACAATACACAGGGTCACTATGAGTCAAATCAACTCATTGGCAGTGGATTTATTGTTTAAGCAAGGAAGGTTTCCTTTGTACACTTCTGGAAAATGTAGTTAGGTAGTGTTATTTGTATTTAAAAGAAATCCATTGTTGTATGCCCACTTTACTACACCTTCTGATCTTGTCTTACGCTGGGTTCTCTAGAGAAGGAAAACCAATGAAACATATATATATATGGAGTCCTAGTATGGCATTGCAGGATAAGCACTAGGCAGCAAGGTTTGAATGACAAAGTCAGTGCTTCAAACTCACTAGCCGCTCCTCAAAAAACCTATACAGGGTCGCTATGAGTTGGAACTGACTCGATGGTACTTAACAAAAACATACATATATATATGCAGTCCAGCACATTAACCCACAGTGCCAGGACTCTCTCTTTATCTCTCTCTCTCAATATATATATATATTCTGGCATTGTAGGTTAATGCACTGGACTGCAAAGTCAGAACCAACTCGATGGCATGTAAAAACAACAATATATATATTTGTTGTTGTTGTTAAGTGCCGTTGAGTCAGTTCCAACCCATAGCGACCCTGAACAGGGTTTCTGAGGCTATAAATCTTTATGGGA